AGGCTCCGAGCTGTCAGCACAGAGCCTGATGTGGGGCTTGAACTCATGAACCGTGAGATCATGATCTGAGCCTAAGTCGGATGTTTAACCGACTGAGCCACCCAGGTGCCCCGCAGCTGTGCCCTTTTAAGGTTCAGCTGCACTGTGTTGTTGGCTCCGGCCCCACCACTTCCCCGACTAAAGGAATTTGAGCTTCTGACCTCAGAGCTGATGGAATAAGGGAGATCCTTGCATTTTGATTATAACAGAAAAGACACCTCAGAAGATACTGACCTTTCCCCTTAGGTGCAAGATCTTGGTGGAGACCCGTCCGTTTTCACATTAGCTGGCCCTTCATGTAGCCGTCAGGGTATCATGGTCCCTCTTAGGTCCCTCCTCGCCTCCGTGGTGCCTGCATCATGGCCTCTGTGCTGTTCTATTGCTGAAGTAACAGGTGTTCATTTTAGAAAGTCAGAACACAGATTTTTCGGAAAGGGGGAGAGAGTCACCTGTCGTCCCAGGAGCCGAGACGGAAACGTGGTTTGTCTGGTGCACAAATATGTACACTTCATACGTTTATGTAGAGTTTTTAAACGGAATCAGAGGCTTTTGAAACTAGAGCTTTCCACATGACCTCTTTCCACTAAAATCTATCACATAAATACATACATATATTCCTAAGTATATATTTTCACAAAAGTGTAAAGTAATTTAAATGATTATGTAGTAGTCTGTCCTGCAGTGTTTCCCAAAACTGATTTCATCAGCCCTCTTTGTTTTGTACTTGTAGGTAGTTCACAGGGTTTGTTGGTGTTACAAGTAACTCTTGTGACCGTCCTTGCTCACAACTCTGGGGACTCATCCTTAAGGAGCACTCAGGAAGAGCGGCTCAGGGACAGCCCGGGACACGTACGTGGCCAGGCTGCTCCTGGAGGCATCTTCCACAGCCCACGAGCCTCCTCGCTTCCTCCTACTCTCTCTCTTCACAGTGCACAATACCTCGAGGAACTCCAGTTTATTTTGTCATTAACAGCGTAGCTGTCTTTCCACGCATCACTAACCATTTACTCACTAACCATTTACCTTGTGTTGTAGCAACTTCTCCAAGTCTGTCTTTGTTGTTTGATACTAAGTATTCTGTATATATTGCGGATTATTAACCATTTGTTAATGATGTTTAGAGTGGAATTGAGCCCATTTTGGATTGCATCAAAGTGGGTTTATATCTTAATCTGTCAGACAGCGAGGCCTGTGTAATGAACATGAGCTGTTGAGTATAGTATTACCTACACAGTAGGGCTCTGTTTAGCATAGTTACACAATAGAAATTGTTTATGTTGCTTATACATGAAAAATATCAAGAGGAAAGTTTGAAAATTACGCTACGGTTTGTCCCATCCAATTAGCTTCGTTTATGGAGTAATCCATTGTTTGTGTTAAGAAAATGAGCTGCTTAAGGGCACCTTGGGTGGCTCAGTTGATTAAGTGTCCAACTCTTGATTTTTGGCTCAGTTCAGGATCTCATGGTCGTGGGGTTGAGCCCTGAGGCGGGCTCTGCTCTTAGCGTGGAACCTGCTTAGAATTCTGTCTTCCTCTTGCTCTGTCCCTCCCCTGCTTGTGTGCTCACGCATGCGTGCTCATGCTCGCTCTCTCAAAATTTAAAAAGAAAATGAGGTACTTAAAATGATTTAAGTTCAATTTGGTTGATTCAAAGCTTGATTGTTTAATGATTAAAAAAATTTTTTTTTAATGTTTATTTATTTTTGAGAGACAGAGACAGCACGAGCAGGGGAAGGGCAGAGAGAGCGGGAGACACAGAATCTGAAGCAGGCCCCGGGGTGTCAGCACAGAGCCCAACACAGGGTTCTAAGTCACAAACTGCAAGATCGTGACCTGAGCCGAAGTGGGACGCTCAACCGACTGAGCCACCCAGGCGCCCCTAATTAAATGATTTTCAGGATTAAAAATGACCTCTTAAAGTGTATTTATCGAAATTGAGTCTTTTATCCGCCTTACCTGAATATGCAGTTTTCAAAAACTCTGCCCTCTGGACAGTTGATTGCTTGTCGGAGGAGCCGCTGGGGCAATTTTCTTAGGAAAATTTACCTTCAAGAAAGTGAATGTTAAATCTTTTAGTTCAAAAATCATGCTATTAGAGTTCAAGATTTACTATAATTTTAAGAGCCTTTTACTAAAAGTATATTCAGTTCTTTATTTCTTGTGGTTGGAATGTTTGTCACTCATTTGGTCTATTATTAGGAAAACACTGGTGGAAATTCCAGACGTGTGTAATTTGCACGTTTTTCTTCTAGCCTGGTTAGCGAATGCACAGCAATTGGGCTACTACGTAAACTCACTATAAGATCTTAATGATCCGTTTCTCCTCCGTGTACTAGCTTGCGTCGAGAGGGACCGGGTTGTCCACAGTCCCGATCGATGGGCACCAGGTACCAGTGCGTGCAGACCCTGGCCTCCTGCGGAGCGAGCCGGGGAGCACCTGCCGCCGTCACCGCTGTGTGACTGCGGCGGAGCGGTTTCCCGTGCGACCCTGAGCGGACGCCGCTGGCGCCTCTTTTTCTTGCAGCGAGAATTCCCGACTGGCCGCCGAGGTTTACAAAGACATGCCCGAGACCAGCTTCACTCGCACGATCTCCAACCCCGAGGTGGTCATGAAGCGCCGGCGGCAGCAGAAGCTGGAGAGGCGGATGCAGGAGTTTCGGAGCTCGGACGGGCGGCCGGA